GGGGGATGCTAATCCATTCTCCTCCCAAGGAGCCTGAGGCACCCTCGATGTATATTGGAGTCAAGGGTGACCCAACAACAGACATCGCTCTCGTCCATCACTTTTACCGTCATCGAACAATGAAGCCTAAGAATGGTGGTCCCAAGAAGCGACTGTGGGCATGCCACGGTGCGGTATGCCGCCTCACCTTTGGGTACCACAGTACCATCCAGGAGGCAAAAGAATGGGTCCACCCATATTCTGGCCAAAGGATGACGAGAGACGAGTTCATGCAGATTATCGGATATGACCCACTCAAGGGCAAAAATCCTGACAAGGATGGACCCACTGATGGCTCTTACCTCTCACCAGAGGCGTGCCTGACACTGTCGAACCTCGACCCCTCGCCGATTCTCTGTGAATGGAACGGCCATGTCGAGGGTGATGAGCCACCAGAGGAAGACTTTGAGTCATACGCAGAGATCTTCTCACAAGAAGCATCGAACGATCTTGACGAGATGTGGTGTACAAAAGGGCCTTACAAGGTCATCACCATCGCGATCGTCCATTTCAACTCATTCATGACTCATAAGGAAGAACAGAGACGCGAACTGGTGAACGCGTTCCTCAACGAGATTCTCCCTTTTAAACCGGATGTAATAGCGGGAGATCTCAATAATATTGCGTCGAGGCTCACCTTAAAAGGTGGAGACGTTCACCCGCGAAACAGTTTGTTTTCTCTATACCTGGAGAAGAAACTTGCAGCATTCAACAAAATAGCAGGAAGGCACTCACAAGTGCGACATCTTTGCTTGAACAACTCCGACCAGCACAGACTGGCACGTGCAGATCGTCTACCGGCGGACCCGGCGAAGAAAGTTGCTGACCTTGACTGTATCAACAGTTATATCCTTGACTGGAGTAAAACGCCGCACACGGCGTCACCTAGTCCAAGAGAGGTCACACCTGCCGCCGAAAGAACATACTGGGAGCGAATCTCAGATATGTGGCAGGACATGAACAATAACAGGGATATTGATATCCGTCTGTTTGTCTCAGTCAAGCAGTACTATTCAACTTTTTCTAACCTTGACCTATGGTTGAGTCCCTCTGACAAAGATTGGCACAGCCCTTTGGGCTTCACGATACAACCAATCCTTACAAAAGGGAAACACAACCGGTCAGATGCCCAGGTCCAAAAGATCGCTGACAAGCGAAAGGCTTACAAGCAGCGTAATGCTGAATACTGGGGTTACAACGATTCATTCGTTTACTCATCCGGCAACAGCTGGTACGACAAATCGCAACCATCAGGTAGCCATCACAGATATGGAAGATTCTGGGAGTGGCCACAGCCTGAACGTCCCAGCGAGCCTGAAGGTCCTCCTCCAAGAAGGAACCAGGAATCATCGTCCTCTTCACAACAAGATCTACCAAGATCAAGGTCCAGGCCTCAAAGAACCAATATTGTTGACAAGCTCAACATGTCTTTGGAAGAGCTGGATGGACTAGAAGAAGAACCGTCACCAACAAAAAGTGACATCGAAGAACACGAAAGAGAAACATCAAACTTGATGTCTGCTCAGAGAGATGAAGAGGAACAAGAGGACGAATCCTCCAGCCGGAGAAGAAGAAGGAAGGCATCGCGTCCACCGTCTGCTCCGAGCGGCAAGGCACTCAGAACAGCTGCTACAGCAGCGGGGTTGTCGGGCTGGTTCGGACACCGCAACCGAGGTGGAGCGAACGCAGAGTCTATCAAGACTGATGAAACTTCACTTCCAAACTCACTAACCAGTGAGCAGGACTTCTCCGTCTTCAGCATCGCGTGGAATGTGTTTCTGCTGCTAATGGGCTTACACTGGATGTGGAAGCAGATTACCAGGCCTCCTATCAGATGTATGGAGCGCCAACAACCAAAATCAAAAGCAGCAGCGAACCAAAGAGTTCCATTCCTCGAACCCGAGGATGAACCGCAGACGCGTGAACCTTTAGGACCCAACAGGGTCAATTCCGGAGAAACAACTGATCTGCGACCTATCTGGCATACTTCCCGAAGCGAAGTCTACCATCTCTCAGACAGCTGTTACCAGCTCAAGCAAGCAAGAGATGTTTGCAAGAAGGTGCTGTGCAAAAACTGCCTCCATGCAGTACAAGTTGCGGAGATTCGCAGGAACGATCCTTTCCAAAGAGGTGATACACGACCACGTGGCACCGAAAGAGACATTGAGCGCTTCCAGACCTACGATGATGCAAGTAACACTCCTCACATGACACAATTATTCAAGGATGCCTTGCATGCACAAATGGCCGAAGAAGCCATGCAGATTACCTATACATCGATCCCCAAGGGATCCTCGGCAAAAGCCAGAGGTACATCTGCACTCTCAAGTGCCGCATCGTCATCAGCGCCCAAGGCAATGCCACCAGGGCCTAACAAGGCAAACATGTCACCTCCACCTAAGAGTCCTCCGCCAAAGGCGAAAGGAACAGTACCTTCTGATCCTCCAAGACCAAAAGGTCCTACCAGAAGAGGAGGTCAAAATCGGCGCATTCAACGAAAGGCAGCTAGAGAAGCCCACAACAGTGGACTCTGCACCTATGCAGACGCTGCACTTAACGAAGCCAATCAAGGCCAGGCAATTAACGTTACGTGCCGAAACATGGCAGCAAGACACGTCAGCTCTATCGATGCAACGGTAGAAGCAGCCGGCCAGTTTACACAACGCGTGCTACAGCACGTAGAAACATATGATGAAGAGGAACCGTGGAGCACGGAGTTCCTACCAGTCGTGGAAGTCCTATTCAGGAACTTAAGCGGCGACGAAACAACTGTCATACATGACAATCAAACGGTAACTATGCCTCTTGCGAAATACACAGACCTCCTCAGAATCGCACAATCATTGCGAAGCTCTATCCAGAGAGACAAGGAGGAAAGGAAGGAACATCTTGACACCATCCAAGATACTCTATCCAGAGTGGAAATCCTTCTAACAGCACTGAAGGACTCAAGGACAGTCTTTAACCAATTGGTCCATTCCTCACTAGAGATAGAGCGAAGAAATAACAATCTCAAAAATGTCCTCGAGACACTTTTTGACGACCAAAGCTCTGAGGAAGACCAGTCAGAATCTGACAATGAAGAAGTCCTAACTCCTTCTGCACCACAGTACTGGAATAGCCTTTATGCCCACGCCTTATCTCCTTCAGGAGATGAAAGTGAAAGATCATGGGCGTCCTCAGACGGACAGCTTGAAAGAAGAAGGGCTGAACGGGCAAAGGCTAAGCAGCCGCAACCGGCAAAAGCCAAGGCAACTCCAGCCAGCTCACAAGCTGCTCCAAAGGCCGAGCCAAAGGCGACAACATCCAACCATGGATATGATACTGCAGACGCCGCCTTCACCAGGGCTGAGAACAGATTACTCGGAATCTTTTCAAGTTCCGAAGAAGACCACTCAGACCCGGATGAGCCACATCCGAACGTCTATGCTCGAGCCTATGATCCAACCCTGGATCCAAATCTGAGATAAGAGAATCTCAGAGTTTCACAACAGTGACTCACAAAGCTCTAGCAAGAGCAAAGTGAAAGGCTGCATAATTCGATGTAGAAAACATCACCAGACATGATCTTGTACAGATGATCTCTCTGACCAACATGCATGAGTGTGTGTGCAAAATGAGTGGAGTGACCTCAACAGTGTACTTCAGTGCTATACATAGCATAAACAATATGCTGTTTTTATCATGAGTCCAAACTCCGCAACTGTGACAGTGGGCATAATAGTATATGTGTGAATGTGCGGCCATGCTTCCGGTAAAAGAAAATTAGTGTCTGTTTGAAACCATAAACCTCTAAAGGGGTAGCTCTAACAGGTACCTACAGCAATGGCTGCATGCTCATACATATACATTCCGCTGCCCATTGGCTCACAGTGGTTTTACCATATTGAGACAAGACAAGCTCTCCTTGCGTAGCAAGACAAAACAACTACTGTCCGTGTGCAGGGCGCTGCCCTTTGATCCTTAGGGAATAACTGGTCATACACCTCCTTACAAGGAGTATCCCTTGGGGGTGTATCGGCACAGGGGGAGGGGGGGGGGGGGGGGGGGGGGGGGGGGGGGGAGGGGGGGGGTGGAGTAAAAAAAGAGGGGGGAGGAGGCCTGAGAGGGGGCGGGTAGGCCCGCAAATCAAAGAAAATGAGGGGAGGCCGGGCAAGGGGGTGGCAACCGAGCGCAAAAACAGGGTGTCACCAAACGTTTGGGCTGCAGGGAGGAGGATTAGGTGGAGGGTACCTGAGGTAACCACCAAAACGCCTGGGCCTGTGGCCTCGGCGGATATAGTTCTTATTTCTACTACTGCTATTATTAGTACTTATTATTATTGTTACAATTCTGTTTATCATGGGCAGCTTTGAACATGAGGAAAGCCGAAGGACAGGTGAAGACGCAGGAGCTGAACGTGCATGCATATGTCTATATACATATCTGTATGTATGTATGTATGTATGGAATATCATAACATGTTACAAAAAGCCGTGAGGATCATTGCCTCCGCTTCAGGACACGACAATACACCTGCCGTGAACTCGCCAGAGGCCTCGTAGATGGTGACACGGTCTTCCTGGTTCAGACGCCGTTGCTCTGCGTGGGGAACTCAGCCGATTTTAACAGCAATCGCCAGCAGAAGCACAAGTCAAAGTAGGAGTGGCGCGATAAGAGTGGGCAGCTCACGGATTCGTTTGAGAAGTAGCAGCAAGCAACTCAAAAGTAGAGTCGTTTGGATGTCCACAAACATCCCTGCTCTTTCCAGCTGACCGCGTCCTTCGATGGGACCGCGAGAATTTGGTGAGCCTGGCACGGAGTTGAAAGGAGGACGAACTAGCGGAGCCATGAGTAGCTCCAGGATAAGGCCACTCGGATCTCGAACAGATTTCTGTGCCAGCGGCCTGTGTAAGATTCGTCCGTTTGTGTGCAGCTGGTTGCGTGCTGCCAGGTACTTGCAAAGTGGCGATTGCCGGAAGATGCTGGTCGCGCGACGAGGAGGGCAGGCACACGTGGACATTTCACACTGCTGGCCCCTGGCTGCGGCGAGCTCTTGTACCGGCCCGGCAGGTCCAGTCCGCGACATTTTCACACGACGGTTTGATACTGCTCACTGTGTCGCTGGATGGCGAAGGGAAGCTGTGGTAGGGGTCTCAGCCATACAATCTGACGTGGTAGACGGTAATGCGTGCTGCAACATGATTTTGCGCAGGGTACTTCTTTGTGCTTGCAGCGTAGGTGCCCGGAGAGTGGCCGGCTTCTTTGTGAGCTCAGCGGGCAAGCTGGAGGTGTTTTGCGGCTTGGCTTTTCTAGATGGCAGTGCATGGACTGCTTACAGGTGCGGTCTTGCTAGATCGGGCATCTCAGGTCGGGCGAATTCTCAGCCGATAGCAAGTGGATTACGGGTGCATCAGATGATTGCACCGCCATAGCTGCTCGGCGTGTTGTTTTTTCCTGAGCCCAAAGGCGTTAGCTCGACAGGCTTTCCGGCTTGTCATTCAGCGCGAAATTTGGCCAGAGTTGCGTCAGATTCTGCATCAGTCGGTTCTGTTTGCAAGGGCTAGGCAGAGGCAAAATGTCCGAATTCAGGGCTCCAATGCTTTGCAAGGTCTGGAATGCCGAGACGGGCAAATGCTCGCAAGTCCTCTCTGGACATGATGACGATGCCCGACTTGCCTGTTTAAGTGCGACCCTCTAAAGGTGCGCATACTTTGATGTCGCAGTGAGCCTGCAACTCTCGTGCAGGTTAAGTCAGCTGCCTTCTCTCCGGATGCCTCACTGGTCGTCACTGCATCCTGTGACGGTGCGACTGCCACTGGGGTAATTCAACATGTTTGTCAAGCCACGGAGGATCGTCATTAGCTTGCCTGGGCTTGTATTGCAGTTGGCACAGTTGGCACCCGTCATTTGCGCATGCCCATGTCATCTCTGGGACCTCTCTTCTGCAGCCTCTGCTGATGAGCCGCTGGTCTTGAAGCTTCGTTTCGGTTCGTCCAGGAACCGCAGGTCTCTGGATGGCGGCAGATGGCAGTAGACTCCGATCTTTTGCCGGCGACCAAAATATCCAGCGTGTTTTGCATGGGAAAGGGCAAGGTCAAAGAGGGACAGGGTGGCTTTAGACCCCGAACAGTGAGGCTGATAAAAGCTTGACCCAGCAGTCTGCGACAAGCCATCCTTGGTGAAATCATCATGCAGAGCTTTTGCTCAGGTTGGACATGACGACGTGGTAGAGGACTTATCTGATCTCTCGTACTGCACATGGCGCGAAAGCGAACCACTTGCTGCCTTTACCGTTCTGCTTTTTAATCTTCCTAGCATTGCAACTAGTGCTGTATGGGGGTTGGTTTCTCCCAGTGGGACAGAACTACAAGCTGGTGGAAGCATCTTCAGCTTCTCAGGTGAAGTCTGCAATGTTTTCCTATGATGGAATGCGCATCATCACGGCGTCAATGGACGGAACCGCGCGGGTTGAGTACTCAGCTGTTCTACTGCTGATTGTAGACTCTGGAGTTGCACATTGGCCTTCACAGCTGATGCTTCATCCTTTGTGTAAGCTGTGTGCAGAAGCCAGCGCAGTTCTCGTGACTGCAGCTTTAGCAAGCAAGAGTTCTGCTCTGGATTGTCGTTGTGATTCATCGCTCATCCCTGAAATTGAGGTTTGGAACGTCGAGACTGGTGAGTGCTTGCAAGTTCTGCAGGGCCATGCCAAGGACCCGGCCAGCTTTGTTGAGAAATGGCTTGGAGGTCAATCATGCATAATCTTCCAATCTTCTCACGAGTGGCGGACGTCAACATGAATTCCATCGCCGGGGTATGACAGGCTGTCAATAGTGCAGCTTTCTCACCTGACGACACTTTGCAACTCGGCCGCTGAATGCTCGCATGGGGGCCCGGGGGCAGCGACCGGTTTCCGATGCGATCTAGCCATACCAGTGCCAAGTGGGGATTGAGATTCAGGAGACTTGACATGTACTTGAGGTACCTCACTACGTCCTTTGATGGGACGGTCCGAGTTTGGGAAGCCGACTCAGGCAAGGCCACGGGCAAAGGCTGAACGACGGTGTTGACTCTTGTCGATTCCCTTGGGCCGTTCCGAGCAAAGGCCGCGTGGTAGTATTCGCTCGCAAGGTGAAGACCGGGATTTGATCGAGGGCTCATGCAAGAAGTTTGTGTCTGTAAAGTCGAAGCAAATTCTTGTTGCTTCCCTCGCCGAGTCGGCAGGATCAGTCGGCAGGATCGATTCCTATCATGCTTGCAGGCGATTGCAATCTGGTTCTTCATGCCGATAACAAAGCTGGGCACTTAGAGCATCTTAGAGTGCTCCACTATCCCATGCTAGGCACGGCTCGAGCTCAGAGCCTTGGTGTCGGGAGCGTGTGGATCGGGGCTCTTTAGGTGCAATCGAGGTGCGTGTTGAGTCGGCCGAAGCGCGTTTTTTGATCCTATCACCAGCGACATTGTCGGGTGCGAGAGGTCGTGAATATGGCTCAGTTCTCGCCTGACGGTGCGGGCCTCCAGAGTATCGCAGCGGAAGAGCGGAAGTGCTGTTGTTGCAGACCCGATGATGGCCCCGAAGCCTGCTAAGCCACGGCTTTATGTGAGAGCTGCTCCATATGGGGATCTTTCCGCATTTGTCAAAAGTTCATGAGAACATGCCAGAGCGACCGGAACGTCGAATTCGCCTACAGTGCACTGAAGAGGATACACGGTCCCAAACTTGCATCCAAGCTTCCACAGGTGCCATGATTCTGGTTGCCTCGGGCACTGAATGTGTCCGCTTGCTGAGTGCGACTACAGGCCGTGTGAATTTACGATAAACGGGAGTGCCGGCGACACAAATAGGGCTGTGGGGGCAACAGTGGCTATCGGCTATAATATGTTGGCCACACCTCTGCAGTGAAATCTGTTGGGGTCTGTTGGTCCACAATAGCTCGCACCGGTAGTTTCAAATCTCTTGGGTTCCGTCCGCTTCCGCTTGCGAGGCGAATGCATCATGACCTTAGACGGTCACGAGGATTGGGTGAGGACAGCTAACTTCTCGCCTGACGGTATGAGACTCAGACCGAAAGCAAAGAAGCCGCTGCTGTGCCGCTGCTCAGGATGTGGCCGGTTGCATGTGTTTGTCATGTCGAGTGCCAAGATTAGTGCTTGTGTATGAAGGGTGAAGCCGTGATCTCTGCGAGGCATGCTCATCGCCTCTGCCTCCTACGATGGGACAGCTAGGCTTCAGAATCTGACAAAGTCTCGGTGTGTGAAGCAAATCTGCTTGCTCATAGCTGCAGTGGATGGTGTGGCTTTCGTTTGATCCCATGCATGCCACTCGAGAAGTTTTTGCTAACTCCGTGGCTTTGGCGAAGTGCCGTCATTTTTCAAGTTTTGCAACAAGTTCGGATGATGGATTGAAGGGGCTGTAAGTGGCTTTGGCGTCGTAGCGCCGACATCCGCCCACCCCGACAAGGGTGCTCCACGCTGCTCAGGTGGGCACCGCAAAAGCAGAGAAAGGCAAAACGTAGCCACGCAAGAACTGTTCCAAACGTTAGTTGACTCGGAAAAGGGGCAAGTCGGGGATCGGGGGCAAGGTGAGAGAGGGCGAAGCAGGTGGCTAGGTCGAGGATCAACACAACGCAGCAGACGGATTGTACAGCCTGGCTGTGCCGATGCCCTCAAGGGTCGGCGGTGACTCTGTAAAGAATTCTTGATCAGGGTCTGGAGTTCGAGAACCGGCGAATGCCTGCAGACCCTTGCTGGCCATTCGGCTGGGTGCTTACCAGTCCAGCAGTCGTTGGTGATCTCTTGCCAGCTTCAGCGTTTGCAGCTTTCATGCGGTTACGCCATGCATCACCTTGCCTGGCAGGAGACAGTCATATCCGCGGAAATCATTGCGGCCTGAGGAAGGCCCTGCTTAGGTTGAGCCCGAGGGAATCACAGATTCGCTGCGTGATCTGCTGCTCAGGTGCGGCATCCGATCCTGGGATGCTGTGCTTCAAATTCACTGCACCTTCTATCTCTTCCCATGAGACTCCTGTCAACTATGGCAAAACAGGCTCGATCACATGGTTTCGAAGCCAAGCACAATTTTAAGATCAGGAAATGCCAGGAATGGTGTGTACAGTCACCAAGTAAAGCAGTAAAGCACATGATCCGAAACAGAGCTCTTTACTGCCAAGTTGCCTGGATCTCAGCGCCTCCTAGGTCACCAGACAATATTTAGCAAAGCCGCGCCCTGACACGCCCTTGTAGGCTCAAGAACCTCTCCTGATCCTTGGTGCTCCCCATATATGATAGCAAACTCTCTTCCGCTTCCCAAGCCTGGGATCATGAACTGCAACGCGTGCCATTCCAAATGTGAAGCTCGCTGAAAGGGCCTGTGGGCCTGGATACACTCGGGTAGTCAGATGCTCCTCCTCCCGGACCGGAGGGGGCCCCCGGTGTCAGCTCTAAAGAGCTCGCAGGCTGTCGTGTTTCCCCTTCCTTGGGGAGAGCACCGAAGGTTACCGTAGCGCAACGAAAGCGAGAAGGGGAAGGGTCTCTGAAGTCTTTCGGCGGAGTACCGCTGCTTTCCCACTGGTTTTGTCATTCTTAGCCCGGAGTTTAAATCCCACAGCCTGGCATGCCGCTGCATCTGGAAGAGTGGAGTGCGTGGCAAGAGCAGGCAGGCGTCGCACTGCCATTCCTACTGGTGGCAGTGTGCTAGAAACTGCACGGGAGCAGAGTACAAGGATGATAGTGTGCAAGGATGGGGGTATGGACGGTATTTTTCGCCTTGGTAGGCATCGTCGCATTGGCATGCCAGGCTGCTACGGAGTCTTTTTTGTGTCACCTGCAAAGACTCGTCTGAGTGCCATCCACAAAGGAAGCTAAGGTTGAAACAGAAGCGTTTTCAGATCGGAAGGCCAGGGGCATTTATTGTCCCGACCCTGGGATTCAGAGATCATGACCGGGCCGAAGCTCCAAGGCAGAGTGTGACCCGGTCATCGGCGAGATTGAGCTTAGCCAACTTCGCCCCAGATATTCCCCCACGGTCGCCTGAGCCTTCGCGGCTCGGCGCGCTATGCGCAGGAAGAATGCCCAAACTACCGTGCAGCGCCCAAGATCAATGAACTGAATCGACGGTCTCACAGCAATTTTATCTTACCAGAAGAAAGCACACCTCATTTAGCTTCACAGGCGGCATCTTTGAGCTTCAACTACGACTTCAGCTGCATCGTGCTTTGCTGTGGCTTCTTGCGATCAGACTTTTTGGATGCCAGCACGGTCGGAAAAGGATCCAACAGAGGTACTTCGCAACTTAGAACTCCCGTCGAATACTGCCAAGGATCCTGCAAACCGTGGCTGCGCAATTCGGAGTCCTGCAACTTTTTGGCAGACATCATTACCTACAAGAAATGGCTGCTGAACCGAGCATAAACACAATTTTTCAAATCAAGTGAGTTTGTGCGGAGAGGTATGCGACATCAGAGGTCTTTAGAGACGTCAGGAGTTACACGACTGCTCTTCGAACGGAGTAGCAGGCTGCCAACAAGTTTGGGCTAGACCGGGACTTGCCACCCGTGTGCCTTGTCAGAAAAGAGGATGAAAGTTGTCAGTGATATCTTCAAGGCTCAGTGAAGCAGGTCAGTCAGTTCGCTGTCAAAGTGAGTGCACGTCTTGGTGTAAGATTCCGCAACGGTTTTGCAACCTGGAATCCTCACGAGCTGTTTGTGTCCTTCCTCCCTCTGCAGCTGCAGCGCGTAGCGTGGAGTAGCCGCGCGGGCTTCTCAGTGCCACGATAGTCTTCCTGTCAGGAAATCTTTGGAGTCTGCATAGTTAGCCGCAGCTGCATCGGGGTGTTGGGCAGGTCGCAATGATGAAGCAGGTGGCAGAACAGCTGGCTGAGATCCAGGAGCAGCAAAAGGCTTCTGCCCAGACTTTTGCTTACCTCGCACATCAGCACGAAGGTGGGAGTGGGCCTTGTCCGAGCGAGCCTCTGTCTCGGCATCACAATCGCTGAGAGGCTGGCAGGTGGCACTGGATTCCATCCTTGATCGCATTGACCGGCTTACCGAAACAGAGGATGGAAGTGCACGCTGTTTGCGGCCTTCGTTGCTGGGACGTGGCCTGTCTGCCGGCAGGAGCGCAAATTGGATTATCCGCAGATGACACGGACGCCGCAGCTTCCTCCTTTACGTGGGGATCCAGATGGCGAGGTCGGCGAGGTATGTAAATCGGAGTACCTGGGGACATTGAATGGTGTTGTAGCCGGCAAGCTGCTATGCGGCTTTAGCTGCAAATCCACAATTCCTGCACCCTGTTTTGCAATAATATGTAGCAAATGTAGCATCTGTCAGCCATGTAGAGGCTGACTTTCCACACCAGCGTCTCACTCATCCGTTCTCTCTCTCTCACTCTCTCTGCCTCTTGCACCCTCGCTTTCGCCCTCCCTCTCCCTCTTGCCCCTCCCTCCCTCCCTCTGTCCGCTCGCTTCCCTCCCACTATCCCTCTGCCTCTCCCTCTCCCTCTCGCTCCCGCGCTCGCTCTCGCTCTCGCTCGCTCGCTCGCTCGCTCGCTCGCTCGCTCGCTCGCTCTCTCTCTCTCTCTCTCTCTCTCTCTCTCTCTCTCTCTCTATCTATCTCGCTCGCTCTCTAATCTCTCTCTCTTTCTCGCCTCGCTCGCTCATGCGCATGTCTCAGCATGTCCCGTCGCAAGCATTGCATAGTGTCAACGGTTGTAGCAACGGCTGCTTGTGAGACCTCTGCACCCATGAGATCTGCATTGTGGCCGCATGCGTTTTTACTCGTGAGGCCATGCAAGGAAGCAAGAGCAGCGGTTCAACGCCACAGGATGACTCGAGAGACAACAAGCTCAATACTCTGGTGCAGCAGAATCAAATGAATCAGAAGTCCGAAACTTCGATGAAGCTCAAACGGCTTGTGGAGCAGGCTGGTCTAGTTATGGCTTATTGGTTTGTGGATTCCATCTTGGGGCATGGATTGGTCTATGTTTGTAAGCTTGCACCACCGGCCGGGTCATGTTTGTTTGGAGTCTAGGTGCATGCCCCTGACCAGGGTTTGCAAGACCACCTCACAGCTAATGCAGCAAGAGGCGTAAAGACACTACGAGAAAAGATCGCGATGATGGTGCACTCCCAGATGTTCGAGTACGCAGCGGGATTCGTCATCCTCGCCAACCTCTTTGTCATCGGGATCGAGGCGCAGCTTTCGCTGACCATGGACTCGGAATTTCCGGAACTGTCCTGGCCTTGGTGGATGGAGAGAATCTTTCTCCTGGTTTATTGCTCCTCGTCTCAGAGGAACTCTCCTTCTGATTTCCGCTTCGGGGTTGGCCGTTCTGGAGCCTACTTCCAAGAATTTAGCCGCCTCTGCGCGCAGAGGATGGGCCAGTCCGGCAAGCGCACATTTGGGTTACGAGGAACTTCTTTGACCTGTTGATTAAACTGAGGTCTGGAGATCTTTCTCAGAATCGTCGCCGGTGGTTTCGCTGTGCTCAAGGACACTCCGTAGTCCAAAATCCAGCATTGCTTCACGTGGACTTTCAGATTTTAGTATGTTCTCAGTTCGCAGGACGTCTGGTTCCTAATGGATCTCGCCCTCGTGATAGTCGGCTGGACGGCTCTCTTATTCCTGCCGCTGGCAGGCAGGGCAAGGACACTAACCGGGGAACACAAACACTGTCCGGTTGCTGTCTGCGTGGAATGCATGCCACGGTTCTGCGGATCCGGACGACTAGCGGGCATCCGTGCCTGAAATTCTTGAGATTGGCATTGCTTGCTCTTGCCACCATGTAATCTTGCATTGTGTCTGCCAGCTGTTCGACTTTACTGCTACAGCGTGGAAAATCTGTGGACATCTGAGACCTTCTCGATTCTTGTTGCCAGGTGTCGATGCGCTGGCCGCCGAAAAACTGCTGATCGTCCGCGGGCTTCGCCTGCTGCGTTTGGTGAGGGCTCTGCGAATGATCAATCACTTCAAGGCCTTGAGCTCTTCAAGAGGATCTCTCTGGTCTGTTCTCTTCCTTGACGCTTCGTAGCCCGTTTGGGACATGGGTTGGATTCACTGGGCTCAGGCTCTCTTGGCCGCGCGGTGATCCGACAGCCTTGAAAAGCCTCGGGTGAATGATCACCGAAACACACACCGCCAACCACCAACACCCTCTCCCTGCAAGACCCGTGTTACAGAGAGGGGCCGGAAGTGCATGCAAGCAACAAGAAGAACGGCGGCAGCAGCAGCAGCAGCAGCGGCGGGCTCCTGCACAAACGTCACTAGCATCACCGTCATTCTGTCGACGTTACTGCTTGCGGTGTGCAAACACTCGAAACTGAATCGACAGCAGTCTTTCTGTTGCTGTTGTTGTTGTTGTTGTTGTTGTTGTTGTTGTTGTTGTTGTTGTTGTTGTTGTTGTTGTTGTTGTTGTTGTTGTTGTTGTTGTTGATTAGCACACTTATGTGCGAAGGGACATGTGGTGAAGTCGCAGAGCAGCATCGTCGGATAGCCGTGCTGCTCGAGCGACCAGTTTTGTGATCAGCCTGCGGACATGGCTGCCTGCAGCGAGCGAGAGGTCATTGCTGCCACGGCCATTTTGAGCTACCTCCAGCAGCCTATGGGCGTCAGTATCGACGCTTTTGACGCTGCATTTGAGATGGTACGTCATGCTTTGCTGGAGGCGTGGGTCGAGGCGAATGAGTTCGACCGAGTGCGTCTGGCACCGTTCCTGGATCTGCTTACTTCTTTGAAGTGTGAGTCTAAGGTGCCGATCAAGACAGCCACGCCGTTAGGGGGGCACTCACGCCTTCGTCACGTCCTCGAGGAAACTCCTTCCAGCATTCGGCTGCTACAGGACAGGGCTATATGGTTGTATAGCCTTACCCCAGAGTGGGGTGCGGCTCAATTCAGTCTCCGCTTTATCTTGAGCTTCATCGACTACCCATTGCAGGACCGGGAGTGATTGCACCGCATCTTTGCTTCTGTGGTGCACCTCAGCGGTGACCGCATTCGCCTGTTTCTTGCTTAGGGCTCGAGATGGCCGACGAGTTGTGGGATACCCTTAGGCTCCGAGGGCTAGCAGCCTTCGCTCCTCATTTTGTGCAATGTAGAGTTGTGGCCGTGGATGCCGTGCCGCTGCACGCGGCAGCTCTCATAGCTGCTGGTATACCAGCTTGGGCTGTGGAACTGGCGGCCCGGGGCCGAGAGCCGACAGCGTCTATGCAACCGCCTGCGGAGGAGCGCAGACGGGATGACTTCCCGCGACCACCGCGGGTTACCCGTGCCAGCATGCAGGCTGCTTTTGAGGCAGCCAGACCAGAGAACCGCCGGCAGGCATTGGCATCGCTTGACCAGGACGTTCTTGCAGCCAGCACAGTGGACTCCAATAACAGCCGAATACGGTTTTATACTGCCATATGCCGGGCGTGGGGGATCGAGCCCTGGCCCTTGTCTCGTGAATCAGTTCGGGCCTTCGGCGCGTGTTTGAAGGCGGGTGGCTACAAGAGTGTAGCCGTTTACTTCTCGGCAGTGATCGGACACCAAGTTCGGACGATGTGGCAGGCGCCTAGCCCGGAGCTGCGACGGTGCATGCAAGACACCAGGCGGGCCGTCCTCCGTGGAGCCGGCCCCACCCGCCTGAAGGACTTCTTCGACGTGCCCATCTTGAAGCGGATTCTGGATGAAGAGGACGAGCGGGCCTTCTCGATTGACGAGCCGAGTCACATGGGGGATGTGATGTTGGCCTGCGCGTGGTGGATGCTACGCGAAATCGAGTCCTCAAGTGCTCAGGTATGCCATGTCAGGTTCAACGATCGCACGGGCGAGGTCACTCTGATGCTGCCGGTACAGAAGTGCGATCAGAGGGGGACTTTGTGTTGCCGGACCCTGTTGTGTGCGTGCCGGGCAGCTCAACAGGTACTGTGCCCGTTCCATTGTCTCAAGAGGCATATGACCAGGCTGAGCCGTTTGGGCAGCGAGGCCGTGGCTCCTCGTGCACCTTTGTTCCCCAGCAGCGCGGGAGGCGTGTTGTCCAAGGATCAGTTTATCAAAGCTTCCAGGACAGCCTTGCAAGCATGCGGCCTGGAGACGACTCGAGAGTTTGAGGGCGTACAGTTGGAACGCTTCACGGGGCACATAGCTCGTATCTCTGGCGTGCAATGGTTGCACAACATCGGAATCCCGATGGCGATGTTGCAGGTGCTCGGCAGATGGGCCAGCTTGACGATCCTACGGTACCTGCAGTCGGCGCCACTGCAGACTTTGCCGGCTACGGCGGCTAGGGCCCTGAACCAAGGTTCTGCTCCGCCTTCCGGCGAGGGCGGTTGGCTCTTGATCCCAGGCGCCAGCGACGCGCCTCTGACCGAGGCAATTGCCCAGGAAGGATCGGACGATGAAGTGCAAATCATCGAGCCAGGCAGGCACAAACGTCGACGCAGGCAGGCCGTCCAGCCTCAGGCGGAAGCAGAGGCCGAATCGCGGCCCCCATCACCGGCCGATGGGGCGGACCAGGCGACACTGGAGGGTCTTCGCAATGAGATGGCCACGGTGCAGGCCGCGCTGTCGGAGCTTAAGAAGCAGGAATCCTACATCGTTCAGGGGAGGTCCCGAAAGCATCACAGGATTGCTATTCCGGAGGCAGCGAACCCCCCGACTTCTTGGTCCACGGTGTGCGGCTGGAAGTATGGCCTCAGCAAGTTTTATCGATCCCATACGATCGGGTCCTCTGATCAAACGTGCTGCCGCTGCTTCAATATCGTGAGAGATGACGGACATGAGGAGTCCAGTCAGGGATCCGAGACGGGGTCCGAGAACTCATCTGGGGAGAGCTCTGACAGCTCCTCCAGCTCTGACTCCAGCTGATGTGCTGGAAGCTTCGCTTGGGGGCGGGGCCGCAAAACAGACGCGCTGTGTCGCGGGGTAGCGTTTCGGTGAATCGGTTAGGTGCCCACAATCTCCCCAACCTCCGTCAGCCAGGACTTGGACACCTTCGACGGCGACTACGGCAAGCTCGGCAGGCAGATTCAGGATTCGTTTGAGAGGGCGGTAGCTTTTCACAAGTGGAATGTCGGCCCGGTGCAGTGGCAGTCCATGGATTGATTTTGGAAAATCCGCCTTGTAGCCAGGGCTTTATCAACGACCCAGTGGGCGGTCTCAGAAGCGGCGAGCTCCCAGAGGGCGGAGTCTCAGCCACGAATCACTCATGCCGCGACCTGAGACGGGAGCAGCTCTAAAGTGCAGTGCCGAGCGAGCGACGGGTGTGCCAGTTCGTGCAGTGGTGCCGCGACTTGAGCCGACATGACTTGACGATGCGAGCACGGGCTCCAGCATGCATGCAGGGCTTCACGTTTCGGTTGAGGTGCAGATTTGCTCCAGGTCACTTAGGCATTTGCGTGAGCCAGGACCACACTTTTCCCTAGTTAAATGTCATCGAGCCACGTTGGAACCATGGATGAGCTGGCAAAGCAAGCTGGCGCAGGGTCAGTAGTCCGAGACTACCTGGCAGCTCGTGGAGTGCTGTCGGTTGGTACTCTGTCTATGTTGGCCCGGGATGATGAAGATTTTCGGACCACGATCATAGAACCTTTGATCCGGGGATTCGACACAGGTCATGGAGTGCTGGAGCTCGACGAGGTCGAGAAACCCATAGCCAGAGCCGTTCTCCTGTACATGTTCCACCTGGCTCGCGAGGCCAGAGCAGCGGCGGCTACAACCTCGACACCGACGCCTACCGGACCATCAGTTACCTCGTCATTGGGCACGGTGTCGGCCAAAGCGACCAACGAGGACAGAGCGCCCAAGACCCTGCCACCCAAGGTTTGGTCCGATGCCGTGGCCAAGTACAACTCGGTGTGCATAGCAGGAGTTCCTCGAGAGTTCCCGGTTCAGAAGTTGGTGGGGGCGGAAAGCGTGCTTTCACGTTTTCACTGGGAGCATGTCACCAGCAAGGCATATTCACCTCTGGAGCTCGGAGAACTGGTGTCGAAACGTAGCTTCACAGCCACGGGCGGTGTCAACTACTTGGCAGCGAGGAAAAAGCCCACCAAGCTCGAGTTCGATGGCGAGTCTCTCCAGACGACTGAAGAGGCGACATGGGAGCCACGATCGTTGTGGTCAGTGGTGGATGGCCTTGACGCCATCCGATGGTGTCATATCTTGTTCGAGGTCGGGGAGGAGCACCAGATCAACCGCTTTTACGATGAGATGATTCGGCGTGCCAGGCAACATCCTGACAAAGTCGAGATTTTCCGCGACTACTACGCAGCGGTGTCGTGGAGCATATGCATGGCCATGCGCGTCAACAAGACCTATAAGGAGGCGAGCGATGCCATCTTGACCGACGTCACCATGTGGAATGAGTACATGGCTCGGGAGCCCAAGGACAATAAGAAGAGGAAAAAGCCCGACACCCCATCGCCCACTGAGGATGCGGACTGGGCGTATCGGGCCTGGACACCCAAGGGCTATGGCGGTAAGGGCAAAGGCAAAGGCAAGAAGGGCGGCAAGCAGCGTGAATGGCAGGGCCAATCATGGCGACAATGGCAGCCGACACCTTCGTGGGGCAAGGGTTCTTGGTCCAGACCGTCTCGCTGGACCAGAGACGATGCCAAGGCGGACGAGTAGGGACAGCTCGGGGCCTCGCCCCCGGGCGGGGCACCCGGCTCAGATTACACCACTGCATGTCTACAGGACGAGCCTAGCCAGCCAGCTGCTTTGGGCGAGAGTGCGCCGGAGACGGACACACAGGTGGAGCCGACAGCGCCTCACCAAGCGATCGACTCTGGGGATAGTGGCAAGGCGTCATCCACACCCAGCACGTCTCAGACCGGGTTTCCACCGGGACCAGCGGCCTCTGAGAACACGCGGGCCGCAGCCGCCACTGTGACGCTCCGCGGGGACTCCGCACTGCCCGTTGGCGGCCTGGATCAGTGTGGTGATGTGATTCTGCTGTCGTTCTTTGACGGCGTAGGATCGGCTGCGCTGGCCTTGAGATCCTTGGGAGTCCGAGTGCGGGCCACCATCGAGTGGGAGAACGACCCCAGCGCCTTGACAGTTTCAGCGCAATCCTGCAAATGCCTTCGGTTGAAGAGGGGAGACTTGACTGCTGACGACCCACAGAAGATCGCGATCATCCTGCAGGACTTTCTCCGCGAGAAGAAGTCCACCGTTCTGGTGACGGCCGGGCCCCCATGCCCAGACTACTCCAAGCTGAATGCCTCGGCTCAGGGTCGGGCAGGCGACAGCGGGCAGTTGTTCGTTCGATTTGCAGAGTTCTTGAGGCAGCTTGAGTCCATCATGCAGATGCGCTTTCAGCTCTTGGTGGAGAATGTACTGATGCAGAAGGCCACAGATCTGGAATGGTTCAATCGCGCATTGGATGCGCGGCCAATCGCGGCTGACGCTGCCAGCTTTGGCCTCATCAGCCGCCCACGAACATGGTGGACACGGATAGATTGGACACGCGTAAATCGTAATCCGTACTACCCGGACAAGGCCCTCAAGTGGGATAGATTGGATGGTCTGGACCGGCTTCAGCTCGGCGTGCAGCCAGATGACCCTGCCTCTTTCCAGATGAAGGGTCTCCAGTTTCACGAGACCATCCTTAACAACAAGCGGAAACTCCCATGCCTCACTACACCTGCTCCAGGCGACGAAGGGAGACCTCCACCGAAGAAGATGCGGGGTACAGTATCAGCTGCCGCTAAACAACGATGGCTATCGGGCAATAGACAATACGCTCCATGGGTGTACGAGGATCATGCCCTGGTCTACGAGGCGAGCGGTGACGGCCAGTTACTACCTGCTGAACTGAAAGAACAATTGCATCATTATCCGGAGGGTTTTACCCGCCACCAGCGTGTACCTCCCAAAGAACGTCACAGATTGCTGGGGAACTCTTGGCATGTCGGTGTGGCCCGATTCTTGCTGGCCCTTGTCTTGCTCAACAGTACCGTTGGCCAGTCGAAGGTTCAGGCCCATGGCATCGAGGACGCCATGACCCAGGCTAAGGCCAGAGATATCCCTGTGGCAGGACACATACAGGGATCATCAACGGTCCCCGTCAGGCCTGCACAGGACATGTGGGAACAGTGGGAAAACAGTGCTTCTATCAATCACCCACTGTTGGACCCCCCAGAGCTGGAGGTCGCGGTTCAGCGCACGATGCATGCTATCATGGCTGAGGGTTCTGCTTTGCCTGCGAAGAGAGCACACATACTGGAACAGCTCCGTGATCTGCGTTCCAAGATGCAAACCGAAACGAAGCAGTGGTTTGACAGTCTCCCTCCTCACGTGGCTAGTGCGTACACGTATGACAACGATAAGATTGTGCAAATACCTCTGCTGATGCGCCTACTCCGAGGCTGTGGTTATCCCGACTGCGATCGCCTGGAGAAGGAGCTGTGTTCGGGCTTTCCGCTGATAGGCCAGTTGTCGCGCTCACCGGGCTGGCATCCCCGAACGGACGATTGGTATGATCACCCAATCCCTGAGAGTGTGTTCGCGAAGCTGAATAGACAACACGTTCGTGAAAGGGCGGCGCGACCACGTCCTGACCCAGAGTGGCAAACCATGCTGTCTGAGGTCCTACAGGAACGGGATAAAGGCCTCCTCGAAGGGCCGTTCGAGGCTCACCCAGATTGGGGCTTTCAGGCTGTGGGGCCCAGCACATCCGATAAGGCCGATCTGCTGCCCATGACTTCCGAGGTGGCATATGCAGCTTTTGCTTTTAGTGTGGTTCAGGAGGGATCGGACAACCGACGGAAGGTTCGTCGTTGCGAGGACTACAGACGCTCTCATCATAATGACACCGTCAGGGCCTTCGATAAGCCACCTCACGACACTGTGGATACATATGTCAGGATCGTTCGAGCGTGGGCCTCACTTCATCAAGATGCTCAGGTGTGGTGTCAGGATATGATGAGCGCTTATCGCCAGTACCCTGTGCAGGAACCCACGCATGCTTATATGTTGCTGCAGCTCCCTCATGGTGTGTCGGTTTGGCGACATCGAGTTTTGCCATTCGGGAGTGCACCGTCGGTATGGCATTTCAACAGGTGTACAGATGCGGTTGTGTGGCTTTCCAGATGTTTGGTGCTGGTTTTGGCTTTGCACTACGTAGATGACGTTGGGGGGCCGGAGCCTTCTTGGTCTGCCAGTTCAGCTTGCGCCACCTTCCGCGAACTGTGCGAGATCCTGGGGATTAGAGTGAAACCCTCCAAGGAGCAGTTACCAGCGACAGTGCAGAAGGTCCTGGGTGTCTTGATTACGATACAACATGACATGCTCCAGGTCAAACCGGATCCTGAACGCATTCGTCGAGTCTCCGAGGCCTTGCGACTGTGCTTGAAGGCCGACCGGCTCACGCCTGAAGAGGCGTCCAGGTTATGCGGCAAACTGGTTTTTCTTCAGTCGAGCTTGTTTGGCATGGTCGGACGGGCAGCTCTCAGCCCGTTGTACTCCAGATCTCACGGCGGGGCCCGACAGGACATTGCTCTAAATCAGGGTCTTCGCAGTGCCATTACGGTCCTGCTTTCAGTTTTGCAACGTGCCAAGCCTCGTTGCATTCCCCTGCGACCAGCTTCCAGGCGCACCAGCGTGGTGTACGCAGATGCCTTCTTCAAGTTAGGCGATAGGCTCTGGAAGGCAGGCCACGCAGAGGTCAGACATTGGACGCGATCCAGAGTTTCTTCTTTGCAGAATGGTTGGGGCTTCTTGGCCAAAGCGGGCGCGGTCGTTACCGCAGGGCATGGCGATGTGCCCGCGGCGGTCGTAGAGCTCTTTGGTACCCGCAAGGCTTATATTTTCTTTCTTGAAGTGAACGCTCAAATCCTCGCGCTGCTAGCCAATAGACGTTTTCTCGACTCCTTTTGGGTGTGCTTCATAGATAACCGGGCAGGGAAAGCGGCTCTCGTTAAAGGATTCAGTGGTGATCCCTCTATCAACAACCTGCTGGCTTTCTTTTGGTGCCTCTGCTGTGAGCTCGGCTGGTTTGGCCATTTCGAGTGGGTGGCCAGCAAGCTGAATCCTTCTGACCCCATCTCCCGCGGGGAGCTCGATGGGGCCGTGGAACGACAGGCGCGTTTCCTTCAACGGGTTCCTCAGGCCTACTGGTCCCTGCTGGCGAAGATCGCTAATAGCATGGAGTACGCTACAGGCGATGCTGTGCAGGAGGCGCTTCAGATCGAGTTCTGCTTTGCATAGTGAGGCCTTTTTGCATCACGTCACATGGCGGCGTACTGGCTGTGTCGTGTGGTGTGACATGCACAGCAGTCCACCGCTTTCTCAGCTGACATGCGAGGGGCAGTTTTCTGCACACACTGTGGCCACTCCGGACTGAAAAGATGGAGTGCGCAGCAGCATACTGTTATGCGAGTAACATCATGTCGATTAGCACACTTATGTGCGAAGGGACATGTAGTGAAGTCGCAGAGCAGCATCGTCGGATAGCCGTGCTGCTCGAGCGACCAGTTTTGTGATCACCCGCCCTCCACGCCCTTAGGGTTCGGAGTCAGGCCACTTACGTTCTGCTCCGTTAGTTGAGTTGGCGGTGGTGTGACATGCACAGCAGTCCACCGCTTTCTCAGCTGACATGCGAGGGGCAGTTTTCTGCACACACTGTGGCCACTCCGGACTGAAAAGATGGAGTGCGCAGCAGCATACTGTTATGCGAGTAACATCATGTCGTTGTTGCTGCTGTTGTTGGTTGTCGTCGTTGTTGTTCTCGTTGCTTTGTTGTGATTGTTCTTTTTTCTCTGGTGTTATTGTTCTCGTATTGTTCTTGTTGCTGCTGTTGATGTCGCTGGTTGGCGTTGATGTGGTGGTGATGGTCGTCGTCGTCCTCTTTCTCCTACTTCTCACTACTGGTACTCATCAATCATCAATGGTCACCATGATCATAACAAGCTTTCATGGCAATGATCATCCTCATCGATGCCATCGAGATCGTTGAGACAGCCTACAGTCATCGTGCTTGGGAGTGTGCATGCTGGTCTTGGGGTGGACGTCGCCTTGCAAGGGTCCCGCCATGCATGTATGTATTTATGTGGGAGGAACCGGCCAGGCAGGTGCTGAGATGAAGAAAGGCTTCCCCATGTTCTTTGATGATCTTGTGGAGCGGAGAATGGGTTCTCTGGTCGACAGTGTTGGTGTGACCCTGCCCTGGTTTCTTGCTTCTGGCTTCTGCTGCTTTTGTTGCCGTGTCTGTTGTTGTTTTGCATTACTGCTTCTTTCCATGCAGTCCTGATTTTCCCTGTGTTCCTTCCTTTGCCGCGTCTCTGTTTTGGCTACGTCCAGCTTCGCGGCAGGCTCTAGGAGACTCCAAACCTTGGCGTGCTACTTTTGGAGGTATCAGGGGTCTGACAACTTGCAGGATTCCATCAAATTGCAAAACGGAATCCTGCAAATTGTCATTTTCCCCGGCGCAAAAACAGCAAAACAGAACACCCCACAATCCGGAGTTCTCCCATAGCATACCATAAAGGGAAATGAGCCCTACCTCTCAAAAGAAACCTCGAACCAGAATCCCGCGCTGCAGCTGCTTTTTGGCGGGTTGCCCAAATGCACGGTAAATTCCAACACTTTGGCAGTGTTCAACTCGAATTCATATCTTGAAGATGCTGGCCATGCCACCGTGCTTCGCGAGACCACCCTGTCGGCGACGGAGGAAGGAATTGGAACGCTCCGCCGCTCCGCCTCGGCTCTGGAGCAGCAGGGTCGATGTCTAACGAGACCCGGACCTTGAAATGACCCACTTGCAGGGGGAAGGGTGCGGGGGCGCGGCGGGGGGCTTGGGGGCAGGGGGGAGAGGGCCGAAACACATTAGTAAAAAAGGCAGATGGAAGGGGGATGAAGTAGGTAAAATGAAGGGGGGCCGGGCGAGTGGGTGAGAAATGAGCGCAAGAAACGGGTTGGGGCGGATTTGGTGAGGGTAAGACGCCTGGGCGTGTGGCCTCGGCGGATTATGCATGTATGTGCCTGCGTTACATATGCAAGCATGTAAGCATGCATGCATGTATGTATGCATGCATGTATGTATGTATGCATGTATGTATGTATTGTTGTATGTATGTATGTATGTATGTATGTATGCGGACATTCATGCACATATGCGTGTATATGCACGTGTGTATGCATGCATGTGTAAATGCATGTAGGCAGGCAGGCGGGTAGGCAGGTATTTGTGCGTTTAGGTGCGTGCGTGTGTGTGTGTGTGTGCGCGTGTGTATGTCTAGTTTTTGATGTACAGCTTGGTTGGGTGGCTGGCTTCAGGTGATCTGGCGACTGGTTTATGGTCTCTTGACGGCCGGGCAGACAATCATGTCGACAACCGCTCTGATCTTGATCAGCTTATTTGTTTGCTCCTGCGTTGCGGTAGAGCTCATTGGCAAAGATCGCGAGTTGCTGGAAGATTCGGTCACGGGTCCGATCGTGCAAATGTGCCCTGGCGTGATTCACCACCGGCAAAGGATCAATCAATTCATGCCCGCAGCTTCTTACTTTCCGCCCTTGCCACGCCTAGAAGCCAAGTCCCGTGACACTAGCAGAATCGGTTCACTTCTATGCAAACGGATGTAGTCGTCTTCACAGTCACCACCTTGTTGTTGTTTCTGTTGCTGTTGCTGCTGCTGCAGTAGTGCTAAGAAGAAGTGATGATGATGGTGATGCTGTCCTGGTCAGACCATGTGGCTTTCAGGGTTTAGGGCTTTTGGGCTATGGGTTATGGATCGTTGGAATGCGTAGGATTTCGGGTTCGAGTCGCAGTGATCCGCAACATACCTAAAATTTTCGCTTCGAGCTCAGGTTGAGATTGAAACATTGAGAATATTCTCAAGGGCCATGTTCTTCCTTAACTCTGAAAGCTGCTACAGTCTGCTGTTGAGACTGCCTGGTGCCTCAGGCATTTCCGTGGCATCGACAAGTCTATCATAACGTTGATGCAGTTTGTTACCCTCGATTCCGTGGCCAGCATTTATTTCCCATTGCCCCTCGGTGTCAATACAGCTTCAGCACTGAGGATTTGTTGAAGCTTGGATAGTGTGCAGTTTGTCCACCAGTCGAGTCGGGGCTGTAGTAGTCCAGGAGTCCAAAGCAAACCTTCCACTTGCGGAGCGCACTGACAGGATAATGCAGAGGCCATATCTCAGCGTGTTCTTCCTGGGTCTGATCGTAGTTATCTCCATCGGTCTCATGAACCTCGTGACGGCTGCTGTGTTGGAGTACGGATCTCGGACAAATGCGCACTCTGACCAGCGCACGTCGACTGGTAGTTGCGTTTGGCCACACCTTTGCATGACAGTCGCAAGGAATGCAATGCAAGCAGCTGTGCAAGATGCTGAAGCAGAGAAAAGTGCGATGCTAAACACTGTCAAGGACTGCTCTGGTGACTGTGCATGCTTGTCCGCTCCTGTTGGAGCTTGTATGGTGTAAATTTATGGATGTTCCGATGTTTCGGATGCAGACGGCATGACCGCACAGGATGCCATTCCGGAGCTGTTAAAGATCTTTCAAAGTATCGACAAGGATCCTCGGCAGACTTTGTGTGGGCGAGGTTCCCAAGACATGGGTGAAGTTCAAGTAACTATTTGCAGTATCGACGTGATGCTTGTTTTCAGGCAAAGCAGGCAGCTCGACGGTGCTGCTGCTGCTGCCGCTGCTGCTGCTGCTGCTGCTGCTGCGGGTGCTGCTGCTAGTTGCGGTCGCTGCCGGACGCTGCTGCTGATGCTTGTGCTGTGCCTGCCACCATCACCGCTTCCGCTTCTCATGCCAGTTGTGTGTGACAGCTTTAGGGCGTCAGTGCAGCAGCCACAACAGCACCAGCATAGTACACCAGCGACCACGGCGACAACAGGTCAGCAGCAGCAACAACGACAGCAGCAAGACAACAACATCGACAAAAGCATGGACAACGACGACGGCAGCAGCAGCAGCAGCAGCAGCCGCAGCCGCAGCCGCAGCAGCAGCAGCAGCAGCAGCAGCAGCAGCAGCAGCAGCAGCAGCAGATGATGCAGATATCAATAGATGCTGGCGATGATGACATCGGTGGAGGTAACTGTGAGGATCACAATCATAGTCGAGTGAGTTTGTGATCGCGCATGGTGACCAAGATAATCGTGATGATGATCAGCCATCATGAAGGTGGTTGGGTGGCTGATGGTGTTCATGATTGTACTTACTGGTGGTGATACTGATGTTGCGCTTGTCCTTATGCTGATGGTGGTGACGCAGATGGTGGGAACGGGTTCTGCTCCTTTTTCTACCAGGGTCTTCTACTGCTTGGTGGGCTGGTGGTGTTGGCACAGCTTGCGGTGCTGCTGGCCGCAATCCTGCGCTGTCCCTGCTCGGCACACTGCCACTGCCGTTGCCCTTGCGCTCGCCCAACAAGCCGTGAGAGAGAGAAAGTGGCTGGGCATGGCCTGAACGCGCGCCGTGAATCATGACTGCAGAGGTCAAAACGGATTGGCTGACACGGGGGCAAACCTGCGAGTTGCCATTCAAGCTTGCCTGAATGCTCAGGACAACAGCGGCATTTTGACACACGATGAGGTGGAGTCCGTAGAAGTTGATATTCTGCCGAAGAAATTCCTCCAGACGGTGCATGTGAACAGCATGCTCGAGCTCTTTGACTACCTCGACGTCGCTGGGTTTATCTTGGCTCGACAGTGAAAGCTGTTGCAGAAGACATTTGCATTCGCCAAGGTGGATCAAACTGGAGAGCACCTTGGCCACATTTTGCTGCACATTCCTGCGCTGCATTTCAGTGATAGCTCGCGCTCTTGCACAAAGGCTGACGAGAGAGGAGTTCATCGAGGGTCTTCTTGATCTTTGCCTGAGAGACATGCCTTTGCCATGGGTGCAAATGTTGAAGCTTCTCCACCTAATCTTGGGGATGTCAAAGAGGATTGACACACACCTTGAAGTCCTGCGTTCCCGGCAGACTCAGACAGCTGTCGTTCTGCCATCTGCAATCTAGATTTAAACGAAATGATCTGATGCCAGGCATAGTAGATTGCCAGGCCCAGCTTGCACCACTTTTAAAGAGGGGCCCTTTGCGAGAATATCTGCATCGCTTTAAAGCGATTGGCAGTCGAGCTCAGGGTGGCTCGTGCTGTCACCCTGCCTGAAACCAGGCTTCTACAGATCGGGCTTGCACCTGTGCAGGTTTGAAGCGCCCCGGACCATCGTTATCCCCACAACGCAGTGGCTCAGACACCTGAGGTCGGGTTCGATCTGGTGCAGCTTGAGCAGCTGCTTGTGATCACGTCTTGTCCTATGCTGTGATCAGACCAATGGGGCAACGCCGATATGAACAAGATAAGAGCGACGCAGAGGGCACGAAGTCAGCCGTAGGCTTGACTTCTCGGAAGAGCCGGGAGGGAAGATGCATTTCACGCCGCAGCCCTGAGCTTTCGAACCTCAATACACCCAAAGTCCCAAGTTCGCTGACGTGCGCTGCAACGTTAACACCGTGTTAAATACCTAGTTACGGTCCATGCGGGTCCAGATGCTGTTGGTGGTTTGCATCCGAGCTTCCAGCGGTCAGCGTCTAGAGAGTTGCATGAATTTTGGTGGTCCCTTTCGCCATGCAGTTTTGCGGCTCCTGCATCTGCACAGGCTGCAACGTCTGCTGCAGCCGATTGTGTATGTTGCGAAAGCTCTGGATTCTGAGGTTCGGCCTTCGGCTCATCGTCTGAGATTCTGGACACTAAGCTGCCATGTGAGCTGCGGTTGAGCTGCCCGAACCGTGGTGACCTTGGTGGAGAATCAACTTCGTTTTCCCTTCAGGGCAGGCTGCCGCCATCACGGCGGACTGCTTCAAGAGCACTTCCGGAGGCCTGACTTGAATTCCGTCTCAGTCCGTCCGGCTCGCTCGCAATCGATGAGACAGACAATGAGAGACATGTGTCCAAGTGTCGAAGATTGTTTACCAGGCAAGCCCAAAGAGCCCAGCGAGCCGGGCGAAGCAGGGGATCCTTTCGGTGCCTTTCAGGCCCAGGGGCCCAGAGATGAAGGCGAAGTCCATTTTCGGCGTCACTTCCAGGCGCCGCTGGGGAGCGCTCGCTATTACTGCAGCTTTGGCGGCCAAACGACGTGCCCGAGCTGCCAGCCCTGCGCTGTCCCTGGTGGCGACTCACCACAAAGTGTTGTACACCCAAGTGCAGCCCGTCAGTGGATTTCAGAAACTAGTGTTGAGTGATCAGGAGAAATCGCCGCTGGACAATCGAGCCGTGGCACTCAATATGTGTGTCGCTGTTCAGTTGTCTCGTCTCATGGGTAGCCTAGAGCTGGAAATGCCGGTAGGCGGCAATGTACAATGTCGGCACTACAAGTGGCAGTCGCTGTGGATCGGCATTTCAGAATATGCAAAGGCGAGTACAAGCCCATCACGTTGCGAAACGGGCTACGTGTGCTTCTCTGCTCCGACCGAGCAGCCGATCGTGCGGCCGCAGCTCTTGATGTTCACGTTGGCCCGGCTTTGTCCAAAATACCAGTGCTGCCAGTGTACACGATAAGTTGGATTGTTGCTGCTCCTGTCCTTGAGCCCGTCTTCCCTGAAGGATACTTCAATGATCCACCAGCCGTGCAGGGTTTAGCCCACTTCTGTGAGCACATGCTCTTTCTTGGTACAGAGCAATACCCAGAAGAGAGCAGTGCCTTGGTCTTTGGGAGTCCCCCAGTTCCAAGGGCAAGCGAACTGCTGCTCCTGTCTTCTCTGAGCTCTTTAGACGAGGTTTCGATACCTATCTAACTGCGAACAGCGGTTTTTCCAACGCCTTCACGGAGGCCGAGGACACTCATGGCTGAACCCTTCCAGCCTTTCGTCATGTCGAAGCAGCAAACTTGTCTTGGCTTGTGCAGGTCAAGTAGAAGTGTTTCTTGCAGCCACGAGGACACGTGCTTCTTTTTCAGCTGCAGCACTGCCGGCCTGCGGTCCGCTCTGGAGCGCTTTGGAACATTCTTTCAGAAGCCCCTCTTTACGGCCAGCGCGACCGAGAGAGAGGCGTGGGCCGCATCCAGAGAACTCCCTTTGGCTTGACAAGCGGGGCTGCAATTGCCTTGGATGCTTTCGTGCCACCAGAATTCCGAAATTCGCCTGCAGCAGGTCAATGCCATCAACAGCGAGCACTTGAAAAATGTGTGGGCCCCTTAGGCCTTCGGACCCTGAAGCGGAACAGTAGCCAGTGCAGCTGCAGTTCGCCCTCTTTCACAAGTCTAAAGGGCAGAGCCTTTGGTTTCCCCGTGTCCTTTGCACAAGAGTCAGTAAAGAGCGAGCACGCGACTGTAGCGAGTCGAGGCCGAACGATGTTTTTCGCATGGGACAGGCGCGGGGCTTTCCGATCAGTGCTCTTGTCTGAACAGCTAAACTGCTAGAGGGCTGGGAATCGTGGTGAGACGGCAACTCCGAGCTTTGTCCTGTGGTGCCCCTGTGCGAGAGGTCCTAAACAATCGGGCCAATCCTGCACATCCGTATCACCGATTTGGGCCGCTGGGATTCAAAATTCCAGGGTCGAACTCCCTGAAGCATGATGGGCAAGAACAGGTTGTATTTGGAGGGTTTGCCCATTGCTCAAGGTTCGTTGCCGGGAAGAGGTGAAGCTGCTAATTTGTGTAGGCCGCGGATGCGCGACGTGGAGTCTGCCCTCTACGCATGTAATGGTCTTCACTAATGGCTGATCGTGTCTTGTGGCAGACTCTGTGCTGCCGTGTTTGTGCATTCGAGCACCTCCAAGTCTCTCCCAGCAGGACAGGCAACATCAAGACTTTGCTGGAAGACACGGCCGCTAAAGGCCTGCTGACATGGTCGCTAAAGTTCCCTGTGCACGTTTCCTTCAAAGAGCACAGCGAAGATTCTGCGCAGTTCCACAAACCCTTTACTGTAGCCTTTCCGGTTGAGCAGCATGCTGGCACCAGTCTTGCTGGAGTGCCGTGCTAAAGTGAGCGCCGCTGCCTGGCAAAGGAGTTGACCTCCGAGGCGAACTTCTGCGCTACTATCGTCGCTGCTCGCTGCATCGAGGTGGCAGCATGATCGAGAAATGCTCTCGCAAACAGCATCCCAGGCTACTACAGAGCGCCGCTCATGACGTTGTGTATCCTTGGCGACGAATCCCCAGACGTGCTCGAACGCCTCTTGAGCTTCGAAGACCAATGCTGACTGGCATGCACACGCAGATCACACAGATTGGGCAAGCAGAGTGAAGAGTCCATGTGTTGGATCCTGCTTTTGTGCGTATGCACACACACACACACACTGTCCCGCTCTTGCATGCGGGCACAAACAGACAGACAGCTCGGCAGGCAGGCAGGCCAGGCAGGCATGCAGGAGGCAGGGAGATGACACCTATCCACACTCGCACTCGCACAGGCACACCACTACCAAGGATATGCCGAACAGTACTTCGGTGGAATTCCTGGTATTGCCGCAGGTGGAGCCGTGTTGCCTGCAGCAGTGACAATGCTTGTGCGTGTAGCGTAGCTTCTGTTCTGGGTGTCAAAGATTGGCAGGTAAGCCTCTGCGCAGGGTTGGGCCGAGAATGCTGGACAGGTGAGATACTTGATCCTCCTGCAGCCTATGAAAACCAGCCGCCTTTCTTGCCGGAGGCCTTCAAGCAAGGCCGGCAGCCATGTCTAAGCTTGCCATGTCTATTTTCAGCGACTCTGCTTGCAAAAGCCGGGGCTCGACGCCAAGCAGCAGGACCTGTATGCAGACGGAGGGTATCAGGGGCCTCCGTGAGCAAGGAGATCTCGCAGGTCTTGACAGACTGTCGCAGCTAACCGAAAAAGCAACAAAGGGACCACACCAGCTCAGAGGCTTAGACCGAGGTGCAGAAGGCGTAGCGTTGTAGCATGGACTGCTCTGAGCGGGAGTGCCCACGCTGGTAGCAGGCATCGAAGCTGTCCCCGTCGCTGACGCTCGCGAGCTACAGGCCGGAGCTACCGCACTAGCAACGGGTGATTCGTGCAGCTACTGTCAGAGCAGCTACGGCGCTACGGGACTTATGGGCGCAGCGGCATCCTCTCTCAGGTAGTGTTCCCGGTGCCGTTTGCACCGGGCAACACCCGCAGAGTCGAAGCAGAAGAAGCACCGCCGGCTCCAACGCGCGGGAGTCTCTTGGCCGACTATGGGATGCTGTCTCCGTCTCCGACCTTACAAATCTTGCCGAGTCCTGTCTACGATGTCTTCCGTTTCTTCTGATTTTTTGTCCGAGAGTTCACTCGAAGGCATGTCTGTCGAGAGCTGGCGGTGGTACAATCCCGCCATTCATGTGCCTAGGCATGCACTGCTTGATGTGGATGAACACTTTGGAGCTGCTTCGGACGGTGGTGTCAGTGGAGTCTACAACGTAGAACTTGCTGGTTGCTTGATTGCACGACCTGGTTTGGTGGATACTGAACCCGGAAAAGTCTAGAGTCCAGACAGTCTAGAGGAACTTGTTATCTTGGTGCCTGCAGGTCGGATCTGTTCTTGGTCACGAGGGTCCGCACAGCCTTTGTGCGCTGCTACGGCGAAGAGGCCCGAATGTGTCCTGCACCTGTTTTCGTGGGAGAGAATCAAGTGTGCCAAACTAGGCTCATGACCGTACTCGCTTCTACACGAGGCTGGATCACGGAGCTCGATGTCAGCGGTGACGACGACACTAACACTTTCGCAGTACTGTGCTATGGCAGCATCCAGCAAACTCGTTCGTCAGAACTGGACGCGGAAATTGTTGCCTGAGGGTGGTCTCGATGGAGCTTACGGAGGAAGGCTTAGAGCACAAGGCGATCCGTTTTGGAGCTTCATCTATTGTCTAAGATGCACCGCGAAAATCAGGACATGCGGAGGTATTCCTAGGCTAGATATGCTGGCGGAAGCGGAAATCTTCTGCCTTTGCATGGTCAAGTGTCTTTTCAGCCCTGCAGATCCAGGACGAGATTCTGGAGCTGCTCTTTGGCTACCTGAACTTTCTGCGGAACCTGCCAGCGTGGCCGCAG